TGACATATCGCACTGCTACAATAGTGTTATAACTCAAAATATGTGAAATTCAAGATTATACCATTGTTGAACGTAAAATTTGATTCTCTGCACGTCAATAAAACTTGTTTGAATATTGTAAAAAAAAAACTAAAAGATATCTACTTAACTCAAAATGAGACACGCTTTATGTGAGCTAGTTCTGGCCAAAATTGTTCTTATTCAAAAATATGAATATTTAAATGTTAAATATGTATATTTGGCAAGTTGGAAGTAACTTATATATAAATTTACACAGACCTTTCAGGGGAAGCGAGTAATTCGTTTTTCGACGATTCTGAGAAAATACACTTTTTGAGTTAATACACTATTGCATTAACAGTGCGATATATCAATGATTTTTTTTATATCAAGTGAACTAAATATGTAGATCACGTATACTATGTGATACATATTTTTCAAATGGCTTCGATTTCGTTTGTAAAAAAATAAATTCTAAACCCAGTGTGTCTCTGCCGCTCGCAAGCAAAGCGAGCCGTATTAGTACGGGATAAAATTCGAGCGGAGGTAGGATCGACTCTAAACGTTATGTTTTTTTTTGCGACAACGGTCACCAAATTAAAGTAAAAGTTGCCCAAATGATATCTTTGTATCTAAATCCGAGTTCGGTTTGTCGTCTCCTAACTTGCACGGCGATAATAGCTAGCGGAGTCTCAGGATCATGTTACTCAGAAAACTAGAGTACGGACACCATGATTTACGATTCCATAGGACATCATATTTTTTTAAGTAGTTTATTTATTTATTTATTATAACTTTATTGATCACAAGACATAATGGTACAAAAGGCGGACTTAATGCTAAAAGCATTCTCGACTAGTCAACCTTTAAGAAAAACGAAATTCACGAACGCGGCGGTTTTAATTAATAATTAAAAACAAAATATTACGTTAATAATAAGTTATATGTAATAAATATATAATCCTATTTAAATGTATAAATACATATATATAACAAATGAACCTAATACATTCATATACAAAATATGTGTATATATATATATATATATATATATATATATATACAGAATATGGTGATGGTTATCATCGTGACAAACTGTATAAAAGATGCTCATGAACATTCTTTTTGAAACAGAATATACAGGGAGACCTTCTGATGGAGCCCGGGAGAGCATTCCACAGACGTATCGATTGGAGCGTGAAGAAGTCAGACATGAAGCCAGAATGAAAGAGAGGTACAGTGAGTGAGAGTGAATTCATGGATCGAAGAGGGAGGTTGCGAGAGTCCCCATTGTGAGTAATAAATTACCTCTCACTATAATAAATATTGAATGTTTATAAATAAATTGAAATAATTTTTACTATTTACTATAGAACTGTTTTCATAATTTAAGTTACTTTTTTGAATACGAAAACAAATAACGTACTTAGTTTATTTTTTTATGATACCAAATGACGGGACGAACAAGTTGTGCGCCTGAGGGTAAGCGACACGCCTATCCATAACAGTTGCGGTGCCGCTCAGAGGGGCACTGTACTATGCATATCACCCTGAGACATAAGTTTACAAGTGCCTATAATTTCACCAGCAACCTTACTCTTCAAAACCGGAATGCAGTAATGCTCACATTACCATAATATACACTCCCGGACACATAATTCGAGCCACCTCGCATCAGTATTAAATGCCTTAAGTTTAAACATTGTTCGATTGATCAAGATAGTTGATCAATCGATCAGTGTTCTTTAGATTCTAGTTTCAAAATTGCGTAGGATAGTTCCTACGCAATTTAGAAACTAGAATATTAAAAGTCTTTTCCATAAGTCCTTTTAGAAAATTCGGACTTTCAAAACCGGGGGAAATCTTTTCTTCGTTGATACTATGATATAGTGGCTCGAATTATGTGTCCGGGAGTATACTTACCATTGTATGCTATAAATACCACTCGAAATAATATAATAATATGAAGCATGTATTTAAAATTACTCTTCTAAGGTTGCTCTTTCTAAGGTGAGAGGATTTTTTTGAAATTTAACAATAATAATCAGCACAGAGTACTAAAAAACCGACCGAGATAATACAAATCGGTTCTCACTGCTCAATGTATATTGAGAGAGAAAAACGCCTTGAATTGGAGAATAGCAAAATCAACCATTAACATAATTGCTCCTTAAGTAAAATTTAGGCGCTATTTATGAAAATGAATATGAATATGAAATGTTCATGCGTGATAAAACCACCCTTAGAGATGAATGATTTTCTTCAAAATGAAATGGGACCACTATGGAGGTACCCTCTTTCAAACAAAAAATAAATCATGAAAATCGGTTCATAAATACCGGAGCTATCGCGTAATATACATACAAATAATTTCAATAAGAAAGAAGATATCCATAATATTAACCTTAGAGCTAAATCCAAACTCATGGTACCACGATTTCGTTTAACCAAGGTAAACAACTCTTTTATGGGGAACTGTATACGTTTTTACAATAAGATTCCGGAGCATATTATAAGTTTACCATTTCCTAAGTTTAAAAACTACATACATACAATATTTTGATCCAAAAATCATATTACAAAATTGAAGACTACGTGTTAGATAAAGATGTATGGAAAGAAGACATTTCTCAAGAATCCACACAAATTTGAATCAAAGTGTATTCCATAGCGTTTAAGTTTATTTGAAAAGAGCAATCCCTAGAGTTTCTTGCTCATTCTTCTCAGAGAGGTCAGCGTAGTGAACGAGCTGTAGCTTAAATTTGACGTTTTGAAGTGTAAATTTATTTTATCTATGGAATAAATCATCTTTGACTTTGACTGAAAAAAAACATACATTCGAATTGAGAACCTTTGTACTTGTTTTGATGTCGGTTAAAATGGTAATAATTATTATGTATTGGAATTTATCCTAAGTCCCCGTAAACTATTGTAACCTTACCAAGAAAAACTGAGAATGGAGTTGCAACAAACATTTGGAAACTTCCGTTCGGTTCGTTTTACCATGAAATAGTTTGTTTTTCTTAAAGGAAATTGGAAAACATTACATCTGGAGCTCGGGACACGTGCTGCAAGCAAAGAAGAAACTGTTGAAAGAAAATTTCTTAACAAGTATCGATGTTGAGTTTCGTTAAAGAAAAGTTTGTAAGTATCTACATTTTATGCAAAGAATCTGACAACTTTCCATTTACTTGATCTGAAAGTAAGGAGTTGCCTGTGCTATGAGTACCAGAGCAACTAAACGCAGTTTAGTTGCAGTAGAACTTGTGAAAGAGTTCGACCAGGGAAGTACTGCCACGTTAACTATTTCTGTTAGCATTACTGTGTTCCGGTTTTGAAGGGTAAGGCTACTGGTGAAATTACTGCCATATCGGACTAGTCAACTTATGTCTCCGGGTGATGGGCGCAGTGGCGGTGCCCTTCAGATCGTTGCAATTCAAAGCTCTGAGTGGCACTGCAACTGTTATGGACGGGCGTGTAGCTTACCATCAGGCCCACGACTGGTTCGTCCCGTCACTTGATATTATAAAAAAAATCATGTCTTCGGACAGTCTTATTGTAATAATGTTCTGTTTACAGTAAAGCTTATATCCCTGCAATACGGTCGCCTCTTGTTTGGAGAACTAAAGTAATAACTCCAACTTGTCGCCGTTCAGGAATAAACCGCTAGATGGCGGTACATTGATCGAAATTCCAATATATCAAAACCTCGTAACTTGTAATAGAAAACAGAAATAGTACACCACCAACAACTGACCTGTGTGTACGTCTCCGTATATTCCAAAAATATGCTGTATTAATTGTAATAAAGACAACATATCTAACAATGGGGGCTATTCCATTCGGTGGTGTGGGTAAAACAACAAAACATCTAATTACAATCGAATCACATTTCATCAGTAATTAGATACTAAGTAATTTTGCAATTTTCGTCCATTATAGCAAAGTTCAAATTAAACTGGCCGATTTGAAGTGAAACAGTTGACGACACTCGTCAATTGTTTCGAATTCGAGCGCAGTTATCACAGTAATGATTTGCCAAAATAGATTTCAAACAAGTTAAATTACATTTCGTCTCTATTTCTGGTTATATACTCGATGTCGCAGACGTACGGCGCTATACCTATTACCCATTTTGCCTAGAAACGATAAGAGTAGAAATCGCAACTCTATACTGGATTCCATTACTTGTATTAGATACGGTAGAAACCGCGTATCAGTCTATTTATCTTGCGCATTCGGCAGCTGGCAGTACCAGCACGTCTATTACAGATTTCAATTTAAATATCGTTGACTTTCTTATCGTCCCGGTTTTTTCCTACTTAAATCGATTTATGTGGTACAGGAAGGCCTCAAAGCTATTATATTCTTCAACACAAACACGGACACTGCAACTCGAAGATCGGTTGTTATGATCGAAAAACTCAACGAAAAAGTCAACTTTCTGGGAACAGATATAGAAAGTAATCGGAAGTTGAACTATTTTTAACCGACTTTAAAAAGGAAAAGGTTCAATTCGACTGTATTTTTTTGTGTGTGAATGTTATGCGATTACTTAGGCAAAAAATCTCAAATAGAACCGATTTTGATGATTCTTTTTTGTTGGAAAGATTGTACCTCAGTATTGGGCTCATTAAATTTGAAGAAAATATTTCACCCCTAACGGTAGCAAACTTGGAAAATTGATGTAATTCCATTGATGTAACGTTTGAGGTTGATTTGTTTTTTATTTTTGTAGTTTGTTTTTTAAATAACTCGTTTTTCTTTTAATAGATTTTGAAATAAGCTCGTTAAATTTTACGCTTAACTTTTTTTAGACATTTCTAATGTTTATCTTTTTTTCTAACACATATTTCAAAAAAATCCACGACTGATAACGAACATGAGAAAGTTGTTGAGGTTCATTTGAGTGAGTTCTTGAAAACAAAGTCAAATAATAATGTCTGCCAAAATTTACTACTGCTACTTTCCTTTTAAATAATAAAAATAACTAACAACATTTACTCACGGTTCACGTCTATAGACAGGGTTTCGGACACCGGGGTCAATGACGGATCGGTGACAGCCTGCGAAAAGGTATATTAATTACAATAATAATAAATTATAATTGCTAGCCTACACATCCTCTCAACGTGGGTTAAGTCTTTTTTAGAAGACGGAATAAAATGACAGTTAATTGCGCAAAAGTGTTGCCCGCTTGCGAGCAGCCAGTGATTGCAGTCGATAAATATTCTATCGACTATCGACAGAATATTCGTCATGTTTAAATAGCCGATTTTGTTTCATTTCAATCATCCTCGACTCATTATTCATACAGAGCACAAGTTTATTTGAGTTGTCAATTTTTGTAAGTTCATACAATATTTAGAACTATGTTTATGAAAAATATAAAGAGGAAACATATTTTAAAGTGTTTCATTTGAATTCAATATAGATAATAAAATCCGGCTATTCTCGTTAGAATATATATGAATAAAAATTGATCTCTTTACTAGTAGGCCAACAGTGAAAATAAGAATAAAGAAGGCAATAGTGCAATTAGTAAACATTAGAACATTCACAATTCAATTATTTTCGGCAATATGTTATCGTGTTCCACAATCTATCGATAAAATTATCGACAACATAACTATTTAAAATTTTATGAAAATTGGCAACCCTAGAAATGTCATTTTATTCCGTCTTGGAAAAAGGCAGACTATACTTCCCAAGCGGGCCCAATGCGGATTGTCAATGTCACACACATCATTAGATGTGTGCAGGTTTCGTAACAATGTTTTCTTTCACAAATTACACCATTTGGGTGTAATTTGTGGTTGTCAACGTATGTGTCCATGGCATCCGCGATAAAGGGTCAGGGTAATCTGGGCTAAGATAGTTGAGTAACGATGTGTCAAAAAAGAAAAAACAGCAGCTCACCTGGCAAGTAATATCGGTGCCAACGTCGGACCTCTGCAGTCTAAAAGACACTGTGGCTCTCGCTTCTGAGTTAGCGAGAAGTGCGTGAGCCTTCCACCAAGATACTCTTGCTGTTGGACGACCTGGGGAGCAAAATAATTGCTTTAACAATCATTGTCAGAAAAGAACAGTTTTACCATAGTAGTAGAATAAGAATAAGTAAGGTAACTCTGTACAAAACGTCGCAGCGCGGCTTGTATGTGTACGCATACGCCGCACGTCATGTACGAACGCACACATTTGAATAATCTAGCGATGCACTAGTGTTGCATAACATTTATTTACACATTACAGAATTACCTTACTTTATTCTACTATGCTAATGAGGCCTATACCCTATATTATTCCTCTGTACATTATTGTAAATACTAGCTACATCTTAATATATTAATTAGTGAGCCAAAAATACATTACCCTGAAGAGTTTACATAATACTGTTTACGGAAGTTAGTCAGGTGAGGGATAATAAGTATGTTTATTAGTTGATACCCTAACAAACAACTGTGTTATACACTCGAGTTCAGTAGGTAATGGCTATGCGACGGCTGATTAGATTTTTCGAGAGTTGAACGGGATCCCAAAAGTTATTTGGTTTAATGTACGTAACACGATAAATTCTAACGAAGTTTACGATTAAGTTTAACTGGTTTATGTTACGTTTAATGAATATTAAATTATTTTGAATTTATCGATACGTAAATAATAATTTAGAAGTTCTCGTAATTAATAAGGATTAACTAATATAAATGGGGAGGCACACGGAAAGCTAATCCAAAATGGCTCCACTTTAAAAGTGATCATAATTATTTGCAACAATTGCACTGCATGTTGGCATATTTGTTAACAAAAATACAATTTTTTTGTTGTGTAAAAGCCGTGCTGTTATTTTATACGTAGTTACTCCACTTGTTTCGTTCTATTATGGTTTTACATTAGGACAGCAATCTTGCCCTTCTTATCATACATAACTAACGTGTACATTTATAACGACATTGAGTTAATACCATTCCACATACATATATCTTCCTTGGCCAGCAGGTTAAGCTCCGCTGCATACGCAGTCCGTAGAATACGTGAGCTTACCGATGTTAGTACTGCTAGACTAGTTTACTTTAGTTACTTCCATAGTATAATGTCCTACGGGATTCTCATGTGGGGTAAAGCGGCAGATATTCAAACTATATTTGTATTGCAAAAACGAGCGATTCGTTCTGTGTACCGTCTAGGCTCTCGGGTTTCTCTCAGAGAAAAGTTTAAGGAGACTGGTATCATGACTGTGGCATCACAGTACATTTACTCAAATATTTTATATGCTCGTAAAAATATACATAATTTCAATAAGAAAGAAGATATCTATAATATTAACCTTAGAGCTAAGTCCAAACTCATGGTACCACGATTT